ACACACACACACACACACACACACACACACACACACACATACACAAAACAACTAAAGGCAACATTAATGTAGTTCATTTGTTTGGAGACTGCGGAGAATTTGAAAGAAGGGAAAGAAATCAATACTGAGGTAATGCTGAAAAAGTCGGTGTGGGACTGTCGCTAATAAGAACAATTAGCAAGAGACGAAAACAGTCCCCAGGTCACCGGAATCGAAATAATGGCAATAGTAAAAGGCAAATGAAGCAGAAGTATAACAAAAAATAACCTACTTAGAAAGCCTGAACCAATTTGTGACTGGATAACATCGGAATGAGATCGATTTTTTAAAAGAACGAGTGTCTGGGTAGAAAGGTGAGTGGCAAAGCGTGATTGCGTATGATTTTTTCAGAATTAGTGCTTTAACCCTATCCGCACGTCGTGTTTTACTATCGTATCCATACGACGTGGGGAACTCTGGGCCACCACTTTTCAAAGAACAAAATTTACTCGTTAGTCCTATCCGTACGCTTTGCATAGCAGTCTGTTAAAGTGGTTTTTTGAGAAATTCTGAAAGTTTCAAAGAGATCTTCGTACTAGAAGTATTCTAAAATGTGAAGAATACAACCCCCGCGGGTACAAAATGACCCAAGGGCGTACAGATAGGGTTAAGCAAGGGAACAGTAGCAAATAACTGACCACGTGCGTGTGTTGTGTGAGTTAAGTCATTGAGGACGCACATTGTCGGGGTCGCAGGCAATCCGCTTAAGTCTGTTTGGGTACTTTTTACACCAGAAATGAAAAAAACCCACCAAAAAACCCAGTTTTTGTTGTGTTGTTGTGATCTCCCATCGACCCTTAACGGCAACAGAGGATGAAAAAGTAAAGAGTAAAGAGTAAAAGTAAAGTAAATAAAGTAAGTTCTGATCGGGAGTCTTGAAAAGCAAGAAAATTGTAAACCTTGACCATAGCATTAAACTGCATTTTGGGGATGTTGAAAGGTTAATTTATGGTAGAGTTTTAGGAGCGTGTAAAAATCGACAAATTATCTAAATGTGGACAAAAGTGGATTGTTTGAGACAGATAAATGTGGGCATAAGTAGATTGTTTGAGACAGATAAATGTGGACATAAGTAGATTGTTTGAGACAGATAAATGTGGACATAAGTAGATTGTTTGAGACAGATAAATGTGGGCATAAGTAGATTGTTTGAGACAGATAAATGTGGACATAAGTGTGACAGCGACAACTTTCTGGTCATGTGACAGCACATAAAGACGCGCTGTTTTGGGGAGTAATTTGAAAACCACGCAGTTTTGTTATAGTATACATCCAGATTCTTCCATTCTGTTTCCTTCTTCACCTAAAACTTTAAAAGTCTGACAAGAACATAAACACTATGAAATATGCAAATTTGTCTTTCCGATTTGTGTACGATGGGCCGAAATGTGTAGCAACATTGCCTATTAAGTCTGCGTTTGATCGGACATCAGACTTCAACATTAGTCAAGGACCACTTGCAAACACTCTGAGTGGTCTTCTTGGGTCGACCTGCACGTGGGCGTTCTTGAACTGATCCAATGACTTGATGGGGCTGCCTCAAGCGGACAATGACAGAGTGTGACACTGTAAGCGTTCTGGCAACTTCTCGGGCTCCAACTCCATTCTGCAGCCATGCCATAGTTCTGGCACGATCAAAGTCTCTCAATTTCGTTTCGGTGACATGTTGATGCGATACTGGATTTTGCGCAAACGGCGGTTTATATTGCCACCAAAGTGAGCACAGTTCAAGTCCGTACGTCCGTTTATGATATGCACCAGACATTTTAACTGAGGAATGTCCGTGATGTTGCACACAAATCGATAAAAAACAGCAAATTTGGCTAAAATTCGCCGATGATTTCCGTGCTGCACGAGGTGGTTTTGCCCTTTAGGAAGCTTTGCAGTACACATTGGTAACCTATTAACACTTTCAGAGCAAAAATATTTGAAACATTTCTTGCAGTCTTTTATTCTGATTTTTTACAAATCAGGGCTGCCTGTCAAGGTGGTCCTTAACTTATGTTGAAGTCTGTATTGTGTAATAGTTTCCCACCCACGTCGTCACAATATACAGGTCGTACCAAGTGCAGTGAGGCTACTGAACATACAGTGCTGCAAATGAAGAAAAAAGTGTGTGTGTGTGTGTGTGTGTGTGTGTGTGGGTGGGTGTGTGTGTGTGTGTGTGTGTGTGTGTGTGTGTGTGTGTGAGAGAGAGAGAGAGAGAGAGAGAGAGAGAGAGAGAGAGAGAATCTTTTACGTTGCGGGTTTTTTCAGCACGTGAGACATGTATTTACATATTACGTCCGGTCTTGTTGTGCGTATACGTGAGTGCACCTAAGCTTTGTAAACTGCGATTGTAAACGACCAAGAAGACACATTTCTCCCTGCGAGTGCGAGATGAATAAAGATTGCCATTGTCATTGTCATAGTTGTTTTGCGGGCATGCTTCTCCAGTCCTGCTTGTCAAGGCCAGCCACAGTGGGTCAGGCGAGATAAGCGAGTCCCAGAGGAAGGAGGAGATAGTCCATAGAACATCAGATTCTCCCCCCCCCCCCTGGTTGGGAATCGAACTCGCGTCTGTTGTGATCGTGATGATAGTACCACAGACTACCGGCCACGGGGACGTCACCGTTCCGTCAACTCCGAACTACAAAGTTCTATCTGATATGTTTGGCCCGTTTTGAGTTACCGCGCTTAGACCATGACGCCAGAAACCAAATGTCAATGCGCTATCTGCTCTATCAAAATCGTAAGATTATTCGCAGTCGTTTTCAAGATATTCAAAGAATTGCATTAAAGAATATTGATATGTTGTGAAACTATAAATGTTTTACGTCACATTTTTCAAAACTGCATATTGAGCAGACAGGACATTAGTAATTCTAGGGCAGCGATCTACGGCATTGCCTAATCGGAGGGAACGATGGAGGGTTGCAGATTTGTCTTCCGCTTTTCGTTTTTAGTATGCGTTTTACTGTCCCCGTAGTTTTATGCAAGAACAATTCTGAAATTATGCAAACTAAGCCCAAAAATGTGAAACTATGCGATACTGTTAATTTTAACAAAGAATGAGAAAGGAAAATAATCAGAAATTATACCCAAAAAAGGATCAAATTTTGCTAAATTATGCGGGGTGCAGAAAACCACGGTGACAGGTTTTACGGCACTTGCAGCACAGATAGACCATAGAAGTGCCGAGGATTAGAGCTGTTACTAGAGCGACAAAGAAAAGAAGGAGGAGAGATAGAGACGATAGGTCTCTGATAGGAAAGAAGGTGAAAACCTCACCAGAGCACCCGCCAAACACCCACTCACCCTTTGTCGAACTGAGACTGATACTTGTGGTAAAAGTACCCTTTTCGGAACTTGTGTGTGTGTGCGTAAGAAAAAAGGATAAGTTTGTACTGTGGGT